ATGGAACCAAAAGGAAGGCTCAACTCCTGTACAAACTGTACACTTATTAAGTGTACAGTTTGTACAGGAGTTGAGCCTTCCTTTTGGTTCCATCATTATATAGTTAAGATATATAATATAATATGTTAATTAAGGTAACCTTATGAGACAATTTTGCTCACGAGTGCGATGGGACGAGGGATCCCTCGTCTTTTCAAACGAAGACTGAAGCATTTCAAAGACGTCAGGAATCTCTTTGATTTGGCGACCAAAGCTTAGAGCTCACGAGGCAGGACGGACAAAACACAAATGTTGGTCAACCTTGCAAGTTCGTTGTGTCAATGAGACCTACACGACCTACAGACGTCTATGAGGAGGTACAGTACTGTGCTTCCAGCTTCAACACCCGGACTTCTGGATGCGTTCCCTTTCGTACCCCTGCGAGTCATGTCATCCGCACGCGGCGTTTGACGAACCAGGATCGATCGAGGTCCCATATTACAGGACGAGAGATGACTATGTGCCAAACGGGAAGCTACGCGACTTGGCCAACCAACCGATCCGCTTGGGATTCGACAACTCTTCTTTCGATCTGACAGACTGCTGCTGAATCGGTGAAGAAACAGGTTCCCACTTCACCAGACCCCAACGCGCACACCAAAAATGCATTGAAGATCATTGAAGCTTAATTGAATCTAAAGCATAGTATGCCAGAATGATGCATTAATTGGTTTTGCCGACATGCTTTGATCCAGGGTCCAGGTGCATAAGTCTTAATCCTAGAGTTCAGATTCCCTGACTTTCGGCTTCAATCTCCAACCAAGGAGATTGTAGAGGAGCCCAATCTCCGGAGCTGTCATTGCCCCGCCTAGCTCATCACCCATCGCCGAGTCCTTCGAATCGAGGAGGATCTTGCACATCGCGGGTGGCTTCGGCACTGGTGGCACGGCGGGGTGAGGAGGGAGAGGAAATGTCCAAAAGTTCAGAGATAGAATTCCTTTGCCTGACAGTGTGTTTCATCTGAAGTTGCAGTTTTGTAATCGTCTGCATGATCGAAGCATGAGTCACTCTCCAGGTCTAAGCAGCTAAGCAAAACCTGGAGCCAGAGCGAATATGGGCACCCCAAAGGCTGACTGGGGGCGGCGACTCAACTCCCACATGTAGTGGTAGAGGCTTGACCCACATCATGGATTTCATATTGACCGCAGCTTGACACGGGCGAGTCTCACACGTGACTCTCCACCAAAACATCCATCTCCACCGGAACCAAGCTCCCCGACTTCGCCCAAATGACGGAACGAGGGACGATGGGATCGTCCCCTCAGTCAACCGCCCGCCGTGGATCGGTTGCTTCCAGAATCAGAAGCGGTGGCGGCCAAAAATCCCGGTGAGGTTCAAGAGGTGTCCATGTTGTTTTTTGCGACATATTGACCGATTGGCATACCAAACTGCCCGAAGAGGCTGCCCAAGACCAGCGCGGATGGAGAATTCAGAATCACCTAATGGGTCACTTACAAGAGACTCCTGCGCCTGGTGGATGACCTAAATGCTTGGTCTTGGAATGCTTGTCAAAGAAGCCCCTGAGGTTCAGCAGCCTATGCCTGAATTGCACTAAATACGGACACCTGCGCAACAACAAACTGATACAATGTCTCCAAACTGGGAGATTGGACTCAACTGAGAGCACTGACGGATGCAAGAAAACCGATGAAGAATGTCTGTGCATTCCAGTTTCCTTGGTCCATAAAGCTCGCAAGTCCATGAGAAAGAGCAGTACCGCGAGTACCGGGTACTGCTCCAATTGCACCCGGAAAGAAATTGCGGACCAACAATTCCAAGAGTTGGAGGCCATCACTACTAAGGTTGGAGACCATCGCTCTTAGGTTGGAGGCCATCGCTCTTAGGTTGGAGGCCATTGCTACTAGGTTGGAAGCCATCGCTCTTAGGTTGGAGGCCATTGCTACTAGGTTGGAAGCCATCGCTCTTAGGTTGGAGGCCACTGCCACTAGGTTTTTTTGTTCTTGGCTTTCCGTGTTGTTTAAAGAATATTTATAGATATTTATAGAACTTATATGGTCCCACAAAGTCTCCAGTCGGTCCACCGGTTCGACGAAGACGAGCCTAGGGAGACAGCAGAGGAGATTTGCTCGACGCCGGTCCTTGGCAGAAAGCTGGAACACCCGTTTGGTGAGGAGTGTATACCAGCTATTTCCTTCTCCGGAAGGAAGCATCTGATGTAAAACCAATATGTGTTTGATGTCGTTTCACCATCCTCACACTCTCCATCACTCTCCCACTGAAGGTTGAAGGTTGAACCTAGAAATCGAGAGCTTCAGCTCTTCACCTTGATCCACTGCCGCCTTTCGGAGCAAAATCCCACCTGCATGAGAGGATCCACGTCACATGTGGTCACCCTCGAGGGTCTGGATTCCAGTTGCGATGTTTTGCGTTCGCCCAACATGTCTCATTTGTTCCGAAATTCAAATAACAATAACACACTGCCCCCATGAAAGAAAAGCCAAAACAGTCACGCGTCAGACACGAAGCAATACGACTTCCAAAGGCTGTCTCTCAGCGCTCTTAGGTTGGAGGCCATCGCTCTTAGGTTGGAGGTGCTTCCTGAGCGTTCCGGCCCTTCAAGCTGCCAGGCACACTCCTCGTCGCTTCGGAGATAAAACCTCGGTGCTCGCATGGATTTACTATGTGATCCAACAGGAAGAGGAGAAAACTCTTGAACACATCTGTGCTTGTTCACCAAAGATGCATTTTGTGTTGTGCTCATTTATATAGGTGAATCACTCCATGCTGAGTATGATGTTAATTTGCACATATGAGTACATTATACTCTCTCTTCTATACAGGGCACTTGTTGAGATGGCAATTCTGAAGGAAGGGGAGCAAAGCCTTCCAGGTCGGCTTGCTGCAAGCCCTCCTGTGCAGGAATCTAGGAACTGAAGAGTCCTCCAATATGTCTACCTCAAACGGGGGAGAAAAAAGCGTCCTCGCTTGAACATCCACGGTGGAGGACAGCTATGCCCCGATGTGTTCAAAGCCCACCTTCGGAGGGGAAAGTCTGAGGATGTTCCACGGATCACAGCGGATGGTAGTGCCAATCTTCACAGGCTCAACCGACTGCAGTTTGGCTCCCTTTGAGCACCATGATGATTGGGTCGGTCCGAAGGGGGACAAAAAAGTGTGATGCCCAAACATTAACCTTTGATTCAAATTCTGGGGGCGACATTCTTGTCTTGGGAAAGCGAAGCCATGCTGCCATGCCACTCATTCACCATCAAACTCTCGTGCGCAATTGCGGGCAAAGCCTAGCTGAAGTGGGCACAAGCGACACCACCCCTAGCCCAGTGACCGCAAATGATGAGAGACCAAGCGTTTACATGTATATGTTTAACCGATGTTTAACCAGATACAGGGAACCCATCGGAAGAATCTGAACCAGCGAATGAAACGAGATGTTCAGAATACCCCAAGCCGATCCAGCTTCTCAAGGGATGCTGTGCGCAGTGTAGGCCACGGCCACAGCTTCAGCAGTTCTTGCTGGTCACTCCATGGCCCCTACAAAGGCACTCGACCAAAGCAGTGAGAGACTGAGACTGATTCTGGTGTGGCACCCAAAGAAGAAATCGCCGGGATTGGAGATACAACGAACACTTCTGGGTCCCTGAGCACCTGAGTCGTTGGCACGAGGATTCTAGATCTTACAGCTTTGTTTGGCACCTGAGTCTGTTAGGTCCATTTACGAAGGCTAAATTGGAGGGTGTGTGGAAAAAAGAGCTTCAGCAAAAAATACTATTCGAAGTTAGTGCATCAAAAATACCTTCCACAAAGTTCTGCCGGAGGTGTCAGTGTTTTTGTTACCGTTAGTTTCCTACTGGCACACCATTCCACGAAACTTTCACGAATAGCCCCCGGTTCCACAAATGTCCCGGGCCTTGCATGAAGTTAGTAAAATAGTTTTTGCAAGACCCTTTCTGTGCACTACCCTTCCGTTTGCCTCTGAATTTAGGCACCTGTGACATGACTGCGTATCGTTGAAGCAGCCACAAGCTGTCCCCTTCAAAGCAGTCCCTCACCTCAAGCGCAGCTTCATCGCCGTAGAGTGCCTCTCGCAAGGGCACAGCCTCGGCTTCTCAAATGCGCGACGCGTTTCCAAGTCGGGTAGTGGCACAGCGCAGGCCATGTAGTATAATTTGTCGGTATTGATCCATCCAATGGGGAGGGGAGCGGTAGATGTTGATCCATGAACTCCCCCACAGGTCCTGTTTTTTTGTAGTCGAACAAGTCGATCGTAGCTTCGAGATGGGACTTTGGTGTTCTCCCATACGACACATGGCTCATAGCGACCTTTGGACTTCATAGGCTTCTTGGGCTGGAGATCAGGATGTTGTCCCCATGTCTTCTCCCCCTCAAGAAGCCAGGCCTATGCTATGAAGTGTGGAAACCGACTCATCTCATTCAAGGCGCAGGATCCAAGACATGGCCCAGTCATATACTGGATGGCATGGTATCATGTGCCCCTTTTCGGAACACATTGTCACATTGGGGCTTCAGTCTGCAGGAAGTGCTCCAGTCTTTGGTATCCCTCGCCCAGACTCCGACAAGGGTCCCACTTACCCAGGTCAAACGAGACTGGAGAAGTTCAAGGGATATTATCGAGGGTACGGCACGCCCTTCGCTTCCTGGAGTAACACCATCTTGGCAACTCTGTTGAGAATGGCAACTTGGAGACAATGTCGACTCGCTCTGAAAGAAATTAAGATACAACAAGTGAGTGATCATGACCATATAATTACGTACAGTATATAACCTATTGTTGACTCATACACATGCTCATCTTTAAAAAAATGGCAACAACTCTGAACCCTGCCAACAGAGGTTCATGTATGCTGTATGTGTGTGTGTGTCTTCCAACATGTCGGGTCCACATCTTCTTGAGACAACGAAAAGAGTGGTCTGGGCAACGCATTGGTTATCATGGTGGAGTAATTTTATGTTCTTCAAAGATGTACATGGGGGATATAGGGTGACACAAGCATAAACTGTGGGTCAACACCGGGATACCTTGATAACACGACTTGCGGACACTCAACGCGCTACTCCCAACATCCCCTTGGTATGCATGACCTACCAACGATACTTGCAGACTCTGTCTGAGCGCTTCCCAAGGGTTACCTGGAAGGTCAAGCTGTACATGGTGTTGGGTCACCACTTTTCTCTGCATCTGCTCCAAACGCTGGCCTTCACAGCAGAAGAAATCAGCTTGCTGTATCCAACCTTCCGGCCGAGGAACACGGGTACAGTAAGCGAAGTCTGAGCGGAGTTGAGAACCTCACTTAGTTTTATGAAAAGACAAATGTCACAGAATGTCATGTAACTGGGGTCCACGATCCAATGGCAGTCCTTTTTGGAGGGATACCGCAAGCTGCAAACACCGGATCTTCCGAACAGCAAGGCTCAAGCTGCTTCACTTGCACCTCATCAGTGATTCCATCAAGCCAACAGTCACCGCTCGGACCCTCCGAGAGCACCTGCGCCAGCAAGTCGATTCCTTCCAAGCCTTCCTGCAAAAGCGGACAGGAAGAGTCCTTCCTACAGGAGTCTTTGCCAAAGCTTTTGGCTCGTTTTGCCATTAGTCTGTATTTTTGTAGTTTGGTAAGGTGGTAATTATATATGATTATATATAAATCGTCTCAAATACTTGCAGCTATCATGCGGTATTATATTGAAAGGGACAGGGGACAGGAACACCTTTCCACATGCAGTCGAAATCTGCTAGACTGGGCTCAGATGATGCGCCATGAGTGACGCGTGTTCCTCAAAATTAAAACAACAACCACACGTCGTGGCTCGGATTCCTTAAGTCCAAATGTGAGGTATCGTACCTCCAACTTGCAAGGAATTCCTTGGTCGTCCTGGTCATAGGGCTTTCGTGCTTTTCTCTGGAGATGTGAGACCAGGGAGACAGACTGACAAGTGACTAGGTGGACTTCACTTCAGATTCACCAAGGAATTTCTGATCGCACCTGTATCGCAATGAGATCTGGTGGTCTTCCCGAAGTCAACTCCATCAAACGTCGCCTCCGGAGACGGGTGTCACGGTATTTGAGGCAGCATAGATAGAAACAAGTTTGAAGGGGATTCACTGTATTTTCAATGTAACAATTGTAGTCTCTGAATCATGGTATGTGTCCAAGTGTAGCATATCAGCAGTTCTTATCCCCTATATAGACGCCTAAAAGTCCACGCCTGCATCCTTGACAAAGGAAGCAGGTCCTTATCCAACTCTTCGGTGGTTTCTAATTTTCAGTGACTGACATGCGACACTGTGGACAAATGGAAGAAGTAGAGAGACTTGGTTGCCTCTGCCCGACTATATACTTCAGACTTCAGAGGTTTCGCAAGTCAGGTTTTAAAACATAGAATGTTTTTCTTGAAGTCGCAAACCAAAAAAGCGGTCCACTTTTAATCTCTTCTGCAAGTGTTTGATGCTCACCATTTCATCACATCCAGATCCCCCAAGTCCTCGTTCCGCTCCAAGCAGCTCGGTGCTGGCGCCTGGCAATGCTGGGATCCTTGGGGAAGTTGGCCAAGTGCTGCAAGTTGAAGGTCATCACCTCGGTGAACAGGCGGCCTTCAAACGACCACTGTGCATTCTGAAGACCATGAATATGTTGATTGATTGGTGTCTGTTTAGAGTTCTGGAAATTCTTCCATATTTGTTCTTGGGGCCAAGGAACATGTGCATCGACTGATGGGATCCTTCCTTTTTCATTCTGTTTCTATCTATGGCTATATTGTACCTCCCATCCGGAACCTAGGTTTCAATACTTTTGGTTGCATTCGCAGTGTTTCCTAGCTTTTTGGAAGGGCTGGTTCTTGTTTGTCTTTCGGGGGTACCACCTATATTTATTATCCTGTAATTTATTCTCCTGTAATGCCTTGTTAGAGTTGTGAAGACGCATGCTTGCTTGAGGTACTTGGCGTTTTTGTTGCGGCTAAGTGATTGAACATGTTCTATACTCACCGCAAATGAGATGGGAGTTACGCCGCAAGTGAGATGGGCAGCGCCCACCGACAAGTCCTGACTCATGTTTGGGAACTAAGAATATTCTCATTGAAAGTAGACTGCCAAGTTGATCCAAGCCAGTTGGTTTCAGGCTTTGTAGCACTGTTGATGTTTCACAGAAAGTCCTTTAGTTTAAGTTAACAAATTAAGCCAACAAATCCTCCTAATTAAACTGGATGTTTGGGTAAAGCGCTCCACAAAAGAACTGTAATTAGCCAAACAAGAATCACCTGAGTAGTGTTGACTCTACTCTACTCTACTTGGGCCCTTCAAACATAAAACATCAGAAAACCTTACAAAAGATTGCAAAAGTACACCCCAAGAGGCCACCACTGAGCGCCCGGCTGCCAATTGCGGTGCGTGGTTCACTGGCGTGGAGACCAGTTTCCGGCGAGAGTGAAGTGACAAGTCACAAGCACCTGAGCTTGCCGTGGCATTCTTCATGATAAATCCTTGAAGGATCTCCCGCATGCTTTGGGCTCAAAAGATTTATATATATAGACTGTATGAAGCTATTGAAGTCCAAAGAGGGAAACATGATTCAATGTTTGCCTTAAGCCTTAAGGAATCCATGCGATGACGCGTCACGGACCGCATGCCCAAGTTGGCCAAACAATAACCAAAGCATGGCATGGATGTGCATGTGCGAAAGCACTAGCATGACACCGCGAGTCACCGTCGAACGTGCATCCTACAGCAGCTGGAAGAATATTGACCTAATTTGATCTATACGTGGGATGTGAGACAGCTTGCTTTGAGAAGGTTGTTTGATGTTGTTTGAACCAGTCAGTCTGCTGTGGGCCATGAAAAGGGGCCAGCCATAGCGCAAAGTAAGCCCTGCATAGACTCTACTCACAAACATGCAAGTGGTTTGGGCGAATTTGGTGAGCGCGTTCGTTGCCGTCTTTCAACGGCCTTTTCTTGGTTTCGGGGTCCAGAGTTCTTTTGGTCTTCAGTCAGACTGGCTCGCATTTGTTGCAATGCATCCACTCTCGGGGAGATCTGAGTCCCCAAAACATCTGGTCATCAAGAGGGGACCATAGAGGAACCGTAACCTGCTCCGTATGACCGTACTCTGCACTGAAAGAACCACAAACTGCCACGACCGCGTGAGAAAGGTCGGCATCCAGGGCGGAATTTTATCAAGTGTCTATTTGATGGGGCGAAAACATATACCTTACACATACCTTAGAATGGATCAAACTGATGGCCCGGGCCTGTCCACCCCCTAAAGCCAGGTGAATGCTTTTCCAGGCCAAGAAGCATGACATAGATTGACATAGCACCCACCGGTAATGGAATGTGATCCGATTTCTGGGAAAAAATATTCAAAACAAATGACTGTTACAAAACTCCAATACGACACAAAGGAAGTCGCCAGAGGATCACATGCTCCCCCGCTCGAGCGCCTCCCAAAAATTATCCGCCCGCTCCGCCTCCGATCGATCGCGGGCTCCGGCTTCGGTGGCCCGGCTTCCGTGGCTCCGATGTGTGACCTTCAGCAAGTTGGAGACCTTCAAAGAAAGCCTCGGCCACACTCTGCATCGCGCATCGAACGTGCGCCGTTCGGCGGAGGGATGGAGGTAAAAGCGGGAAGAAAGAGAAAGCACTTTCCTCGGAGCACTCTGGTCATGTTTTTGGCCAAGTTGGCTGAGTTTCATTACCCTGCCTTGTCATCGAAACATGTGGACGCGGCACCGAGGCTCCCAGCTGCTTCCCACTGTGCATCATGACGGCTAAACGGCCTAACTGCCGAGCCTGGCAGAAAAGGACACCAGGACCAGGAGCGTAAGCCAAGCAGCCAAGCAGGGTGTATACAAAGTGCAAAGCTACCCCTTCAAAAACATTCAAACACCACTTTTCTGTGGAATCTGGCAACGGAATTTATATATGTGCGGTTGTCAAAACTCCTTGGTCAATCTTATGCTATCAATAATTGAGGTCCCCATCCCTTTCCTCAGTTTTGGACAACTTTGGACTTCAGCTTGGAAGGGAGGCATCATTTTCATGTAGATAGGAAAGGCAGGCACCAAGCAAACAAGTCCGTATGAGCATGAGCACTGAAAGGAGACAAACCAAATAACCATCACTCGAGTCGAAGGCAACAGCAAAGCTCAGCTGACACAAGAAGAGCTTTGCAAGCAGCTAAGAAATGCTAAGAACATTCACCAAGCTGTTTCTGCAACACCTTTGCTGTTTACAAACTGAACTAATTATGTTTAAGTGAGCAAGTGATGGACTGGCATGATCGAGGGACCCGCTTTGGGTTTCGCTTGGGCCTAGGCATCGCTACGGGCGTCGCTGCAAATCCAAGTTTGGGCCAGTTACATGCCACGTGGAATTACCTATTTCACATCTTTTCACATCCTTTCACCCGAATCTCTTGCAAACATAGAAAAATGTCGAACAAACATTCTTGGACAATGTTCATCCTTCATGCTCTGGAGGGGCATCGTTCTTGCGGGGGCCCATCACTTCATTGCAAAGTCTGAAGGATCGAAGGTGGCTCACATCTTCTGCTCGACATGCCGTGTTTTGACGGTTGCTCAAACAAGTTGCTCATATGGTCTTTTACGAACAAAAAGATGTCCAAAGAGATATCACTACATGATCCTTCGCTTCCTTCGCTTCTTACCGCCGAGATCTGGTTTCCCGATGTCACCTGAAGGCGCCATCCAGGCAAGGGGTCTATCTGTGTATTGGTCCAAGTGGGTCCCACAATGACACATCGATTCCGACTTCATTGAGCTTGAACACTTCATAGCCCAGTACTTCGCAATGAGAAGCAGAACGCTTTCGGGAGGTGGCAATTTTGAGTTGCTTCCTTGACCATCCTTCCGCAACACCCCATGTAAGCAAACAGTTCCAGATTTAGCAAGGCCATCCATGAATCCTTGACCAGTCGATTCAGTGACCAAAAATCATTCCTCCAATGGGACGCCGCTCCTCCCCGACTCATCTATCCATCCGGGTGGATCGGTTTGATCGGCCGCCTGTTCAGGAGATTCCAGTGAGAGCACGGTGCCACGCTGGCCATTGAGTTCCAGCTTCGAAAGGCCCCTTGTGTCGCAGGTGAGTGACCGTGGCGGAATCGTTGGTTCTGGGCTAGCAAATGAAGGAGGTAATACTCCAATGTTAGGAGGTGTCGAGGGTAATACACCCATGTTAGCAGGTGTTGGTGTGCGTTCTGTCTTGGTTTCTTCTGACGCAAACGAACCATATTCATTCTTTGTGGATCCATCTTCATCCGGTAGTTGGACCCCAAAATCCATGGCTACCCCACCCACGCACACACAAACGGCCCGATTGCTCCTAGTAGCGATGCCCTTTGTTCCTAGGTCCTAGTAGCTTTCTGTTCCTAGTAGTAAGGCCAGGAGCTACTAGTAGCGTTCTTGCTCCTAGTAGCGATGCCAGGAGCCCCTAGTAGCGTTCTTGCTACTATAGTAGGGTATGTGGATCCACCGAGCTTTCATTCGAAACGTGCACTGCAGACTTCGGGGCAGCTTGAAGCATTGGCACTCCAATGCACGTTGCTCATTGTTGCTCAAGGCTGCGTAGGTTCTATAAAGCCTTTGGCGCTACCGAACGCATCGTTCGCTGCGAATCCATGGCGCGCCAGCGCGCGGTCGGAGGATTGGGATGGAAGTTAGTCATGCATGGTTAGCCACTCAACCAACAACCGTTTTGCTTGTTCAAACAGATCTGCTTGTTCAAGTGGGCCATGAACATGATTAACGTCCTAAGTAAGCCAGTCCACACCAAAACATGGGCGACAAAACACTATATACTTGTGGTTTGCCAGTTCCGAATTCTTTCTACCGTAATTTGGATCACCCAAGTTGAGACTGCATGGATAAACATAAGGAACAACAACATCGTGGATCAAAATAAACAGTTGAACCAAAATACAGTTAAACCTCATCGTGGTCGTCGACCCACGTCGCTTTGGGCCAAAGCCGATGGGTCTTTCCGTGTCTTTTCGAAGGCCTGAGCTCCACCTCATCGCCAGCAGCAAAGCCCCACTCCTCCATGTCAGGCCTAAGCTCCACAGACTGTCTCCAGTCTTGTCACACGGGGAGACCTCCCAGGGGAGGTGTATATTTCAATGGGGAGACCTCCCAGGCAACGACACCCAGGAAAAATGCAAATAAGCCAATACATACCAAAACCCATGAACCAAGGGGATCTCCCTACTAAATTCACCCCCAACAATGGTGAATGACCAGTTTTTCAACCCTCGATCAGGGATGGGGAGGGAATGGTCTCATCCGTTGTTGTCTCGGTGGTTGTTGTCTCGCCATGTTTTGCTTCCTTGGCGAGCTTGAGACACCAAGACCAACTGTTTTCTGTATTTAACTATTAATTCAACTGTTAACCTCACAGATCATGCTAGAATACACCTGAAAAAAATGATCGGTCACCGGGCCTGCAGATCCAGAGTCACCATGAATTCATCGCTAAGCGTGGTTTGGACACGGTAGGCATGAGATTTGGGTCAGGTGAGAATATCTTCCTTGTAAAGTTGGACCTCTTCAGTTAGCAGAAAACACAAACGTAGCTGCTCCAAGATGCAGAGTTGTTTCCAAAGGCAACCCCTTCAAAAGTGTCTGGAATAAGGCACAAACGGATGATTGAAACATATTCAAACCAACTAAGTGGTTGGTGTGTGTCTCTCCCGAATCGTCTACAAACCCAAAAATGGTTCTTCATGGAATGCGCTGCCGAATAGAGGATGAATGAACTGTAAACTTTGGAACTTTATGCCAAACATTGAGAAAAGTGGTTGGCTGGATCTTGTGCTGCTTGATGTTGCTATCTTTGAGTGCTCCCTTCAGGCCGAAAGAGCGACCGGGCCGATGGAATGTGACCCCGTCACATCTTCGCACTCCCTTAAGCACCCTCATGCTTCAAGGTGACCATCTTTGCCACAGTGGATCAGGATGGAATCAGGAATCCCACCATAGAAAAACATCATTTTACGAAGGAATAGGTCACCTGCTAAGAGTCCTGTGGAAAAAAGAGTCGTGAGTCCTCAAGAACTGGAACACATGCGGGTGTTTGTTGAATCTATGTCAATGGTGGATTTCAGACATGTGATGATGTCATGCAAGAACAGGCGTTGCAAGTGGTTAGGAACAAGTTGTGGACATTCCTTGAACCCGACACGACTCTCCGGCCTTCAAAACTCTCCTGACAAGGATAGGTTATGGAGCAAAGCAATTCTTCATTGCTCTGCTCGGTTCCGCTAGCCGGATGAAAGACTATGTATATATATATATATGATCAATCATAGTATATATAGATAGATAGATATATAGATCTTCCAAGTTGACCAGACTGATCAACGATGGTCGACCTTGGGTTGTGCCTGTAAAGATCGTTCACTGGTGCGAGAGGCTTCCAGATCTGCCTGGCACTCGAGTCAGTCGTGCAAAAATGGCCTTCTGGAAGTGTCTTGAGTCATTTGAACATGGATCACAATCCCCAAAAAAAGGAAGTCGTCACGACGCTCAAATGGCAGCAATCAATGAAGTTCCCATGAAACTAGTTTTTGCATGGTTTTATATATGTTTGCACGCTTACTCAAGATAAGCCTCCCAAGTTGTGATGTCATATGTTCCGATCCTTCAGACCCCCAGCGCCTCGCCGCGCCTCGCCTCCAACTCGTTGACCCGCTGGGTGTTGGAGCTCCTCCCCCGTAGCTGATCCTTGAGGTCCTCGACCGTCCTCCGTGCAGAGAAAATGCACAGGTGGCGATTCTCAAGTGCTGGAAGCAATTTTGATGCCTACTAGTAACAGGTGCCTTACTAGTAGTAACAAGAAGCTATTAGAATTAAAATTAAAGTAAATTTTGATGCCTAGAGTTTCTTGTTTCTAATAGCTTCTTGTTACTACTAGTAAGGCACCTGTTACTACTAGCGTGGCACTTGTTACTACTAGCTTCTTGTTTCTAATGGAAGCAATTTTGATGCCTAGAGTTTCTGCTTGCACATGATACGTATATGATCTCATGGTGTTATATGCCATCAACGCTGTGAGCCTGGGATCGCTTGCGTATGTTTCGAAATTCGTTCCTAGAGCCATTTTTGCAGGTTTGGTCCGAGACCTCTACAAATATGCTCACGCGGTCCTCGCTTTAAGACACCATTTCTCTGCTCGCGTCTGTGCGTACGTTCAAAACACCGTATGTATGCGGAAAAGTATGCACAGCAATTGGAAGACGCTCCAAGGCTACTATCTGACGATGCAGGCGAGTGATTAGTCCTCATCCTTCAACGAGGCAAGCATGGCTTGTTGAGAGTTGTTTTCAAGCAAAGGCTGATGCTGATCATGTGTTCATACTTTGCGTTTTCTTGAGCCGCTTGACTTGAGCCGCTATATTGGATGAAATTGTTCCGAATTACCTTTTAGCCTGGAGGTCCAGAATGGACCGCTCAAGTACTTGATCGTAGTTCATCACATGTCCGACATGTGGCATCACGCAATACATGAAGCGCTCAATAAGATTTCTCAATTCTAAATGCCCCCCAATGCGCAGCTTCTCCACAGACAACATATGCTCCCTCCTGAAAAGGCAGTGGCTGCAAAAGAGTATACCCGACCGCAGTCCACGTCGATAAAAATATAGTTGATCCCATAAACTTGGATTTCCACTCCTTCATCACATGCGACAGTCCTGGCCAAGAAGTCACGCTTGGAGGCGGTCACCGCTGTGACGTCGCGGTCACTGCGCTTCGCCTCCGTGGTGGAACATGGAGGTCTGGTGACTAGTAGCAAGGTGCATCGCTATTACAAGTAGGAGCAAGGTGCCTTCCTACTAGTAGCAAGAAGCTACTAGTAGCGCACTTGCTACTATAGTATACTATAGTAGCAAGAATCTAAGAAGCTAAGGGTCTTACCAAGGAAGCCACAAATCCTAGGATCAACCCTTCCCCCAGGATCAACCAGAAGCGCAATCGGCGTCTTTTCTCAACCAATCGCTTCTCGGCACAGGACCGAGACAAATCGGACATCCGTCCGATCAAATGTGGGAGGAGTGGGCAAGACTTGCCATCCCATGGATCCGAGGCATTGAACATATTGGCTCATAGTAGCGTTCTGGCTCCTTGATCTCCAGGATACTTCCACAAATTCTGATACGCCCACATCTTTGGCCTCAGCGCGATTGGACTCTGTGCCACGGTCCGGTTTGGGGGGATGCGTGTCCGGGCTCACGGCATCTGGGTGGAACACGTTTGCTTCCTTCAAAAAACGAGGCTTCACCACCAAAGCGAAACATCTTTGCAGGATGTTGCAGGCCTTCAAGAGTTCCGAAACACGCTGATCGGCACTTGCTTGACCTGAGGGAAGTCAGCTTGACAACTGCACCTCTTTGTCGCAAAAAAATATCGGGTGGGCAATATCTTGTAGAAACTGAGATAGATTAAAGAATTAAAGGCAAGATGTGTGCCATCGTGCCTACTCTCCCATCTTTCTAACAACGGTTATGTCAGTTATGTTTCGACCCTCTTAGGGCTCATGGCTCACATCGGTTTGCCCAACGGCCAAACACTGGATCGACAATAGAAATCACTGCAGCACCATGCAGCCTTCATCGAAAATGCGCACCGTCCAACTTGCCGGAGAAGGCTCTCCCTCAGACCCTTCAAAAGCCTATAGGTTTCATGACACATCAAACCATTGCCCAAACCATAATCTATTTCCGCATATTTCCGCATAAAGAGCCCATCAGCCCATCGTATCGCGATCCATCGTGATCAGCATGTTTGTAGCAGAACACGGTCAGAACAAAACGTGGTACCCAATCCACGAATACCCCCCTAAACGCAATGGATTTCCTTGGTGCGAGTGAACCATGTCATTAGTGGGTACCGATCTCTGTCAACTGGGATTTATCCATCTTCAATCGAGGAACCTCATGGAAGCTGCTTCATCTGCGTCGTGCTCCTCGGACATCAGGGCAGTCGAGAGAAACGCATGACTGGGAAATGTCCTTCGTCCCTCCTCACCGATGAGTAACCCACCCAATGGATGACGCCAACAGTCAGGCAAGAGTCGTAAGAGCAAGGAGCAAAGATCAGGAAGGGGCAAAAGAAAGGGGTTGATGCTGCAAATCAAGCAGGATCAAAATAAAGGCTGGGCACATTTTCTATGCTTCTCACAATGTTCTCAAATAAATGGCACTCTTGGCCATTCATGAAATAGTCACAGGCAGCCAGCACTATGGAGCAAGATGTGACAACACTGTCCTTTGCCAGGAAAGCACGTGATCATCAATACTTGAATCGTTCAATGAGTTTAAAAGTCCTTTGCCCAGGAAAGACCCATTTTTGAGATTCTAATACGACTATATAATACAATGGTAGCTGATGTAGGTTTCTCTAGCTCTTCAAAAACTGACAGCTTCCCAAAGCCATTGACTCCTTTATCAACCCTTTTATGTGAAGACTCCTCCCAAACAAATGTTCAAGGTAGTGGACCAGGAAGGCACCGACCCTCCTCTATTCCACTGAAACACCGAAGCAAAGGGACAAATCACCGATCCGTTCCGAGTAGTTGGTCGCGATGACAATGGCGGAGTTGTAACACATCTACGACCTCGGAATCGGGACGCAAGAAACAGAACAAGGGAATCTGTGCAAAACAAGTTCGGGAGGTGGTACTGGTACTCCGAACTTGGATGGCACAAATGTGATGTGATATTACACTAGAAACAAATACAACATGTTGGAAGCGGCACGAAGTGGCAGCCCAAAGCTTGTGTGGCGACTCAGCCAATGATTTCATCGTTGACCAAAACTGCACACCCATTCGAGGTTCATACTGGCGAAGCTGAAGAAAAAATCAAAGGTGGGTCAACGGGTCAACGCAGTGCCTCAGAGGTCATCCCAATCTTAGTTTTTGACACTGACATCTGAGGATGACATGCTCTGCGGCACTGAGTGTGAACACCCAGTGTTAACAGTATGAGACAACAAATGCTCATGTCAACACCCAGTGTTTGTTAGGACAGTGACATGCTGTGCTGCGACGGTCCAGCTTTGCCCAAGACCAAGCCGGCAGCCTGCGAGCCAGTCAGCAGCGAAGCACCCTCCTGGAAAAAAAAAGTAAAGCCTGCCCAAAAAGACATAGCTCTAGCCGACACAGTGTACCCTGCCATGTATCATAACCAAAAGTATATAACAAATAGTCAATCTACGTTGCTTTGGATAAACACACTCGAAATCGCGGTGCTTTTGATCCATACTTCGATATACTTCGCAGCACCACATCAGACCATCTCCTCATCAATCTCTCTCAACAAGCTGGTCAACATCTCTGCATCCAGCTGTTCTGGCAAGTGCTGTGCATGGGTCTCCTGCACGAACAAACACTCGCTGACGGTCTGCCCGAACCTCCCTTTCCCATCCTTTCCCCGTTCCGAAAGCATGCGGGAGGGCAACAGTAACAGCTAAAGCAAATGTCAATTGGTAGTGATTAGTGGGGTGAGAATCATGGAGTCAACGCAGAGAAATCCGGTGCAGATTGAACAGTATGAGTCCAGCACTGACTCTCGTGAAGATGTCCCTACGACCCAACACATATTATGGTGACTGGGTGCTGGAGTGGATACCAGGAAAAACACTGTGGATGTCAAAGTTAAGGCTGGACATGGCGATAGTTTAGGAGGTCTGAACTTCTCAACCTATAAAGAGAAAAATGTAAAAATAAAGAGGATGAGTGGGTCAAAGACTACATGGAAAATAAAGACAGAAACAAAAATGCAAGTAGTAACAATGCGAACTGATTGTCAAGGCAGTGTCAAGGCTATGAAGGAGCTGATTGCAAAGGCTGAAGAAAGGAAACGTTACAAAATCACTTCCAAACTTCCTCCAGTGAAGTTGTGTTCGTATTCACGGATTCAAATTCACAGAAATATGACTATATTTCAAACTATATTAACTCTGCAAAGGACAATTTTGTAAGTGGGGAAAACATGCCTCATAAGCAGTTCAAAATAGTTCAAATACATGTCCCGTCTGGATCTTCTTTCGCACACATCCCACCTCAGTCCCCCGACCCAGTGCAGGATTGAGGACTCGCAGAAACTTTCAAACGCAGGGCCGAAGCAAACCAGTTGTTAGCAAAGCAAAAAGAACTCCAAAGAGCTTGGGGAGGAAACGAAATCACATCAAGATCGACCTACTGTAATTCATCGACTTGTTGAGACCCAACTCAATTGATGTTGATCTATGAGCTGGGCCGGCCTTTTGACCCAAAACGGTCGACCGATGGCGACGGCGGGGTGAAACCGCGGACCCGTCCGGCTCCTCGATGGCTTGCTCCCTCCGAGCACCTTCGAAGCTGGAGCAAAGCGCTTCATCGGAGGCCGCCTTCCATCGGAGGGGTCGGATGGTGATCCATCGGAGATCTTCGGAAAAATGCTTCTTCCTTCGATCGGGTGGGTGAAAAGGGGGATCGGCTCATATATGGGGAAACAAATCACGGTCGGGAAGGTAAAGAGTCTTGGATGATATCTATCGACAGGATTCAACAGGGCCATTTCGGAGCTTTTTTATATTGCATGAATATCAAGTTATTGTCCATCCCTAATCAACCACAAGCTACAGAAATCGTTAGAGGTCTTCACAGCAACTAGTACAAACATGTACAAACCCGATAAACCCGACATTTTAGTGATGTCCCTGGCAGCACTCTGGGCGACTTTGCCAACAAATATGCCTGAAGGATCAGCTGCTGGCACTCTTCCTGAAGGACCCGAATAGGTCGAAAACGAAGGTGGGTAGGATACTGAGATCAACGGAACATCCGTGATCGAGTTGGTCAAGGAAACCATCTACGAGTACTCACCATCTACGTGTGGCGGCGTCCTACTTTCCAGATGTCTTGAGCCTAATGGAATTTGGGTCGCTATCAAACCACCTCTGCTTGTTAGACAAAGGCAACATGTCAGAATATTTCAGCTATGTACATGGACTGTTTGAAGATCAAGAAACAAAGTGATACAGTAATCACCCAGAAGTCTTGAAAAGCCAATTCACGTGTCGTTCTGAGGAAATACATAACCCGTGTCTTCGTCGAAAATACCTTAGCAACGCCTGGTGTCCGGGGTTCACAAAAGCCCCAGCTACTGTCCTTGGCAAACCACATGTTAAATGACTTAAGATTCAACTTCAAAACTAATTAAAAATATATAATTGAATCATATTGAATCTATTTGACCCCTGTCAGCAGCAGATCTGGTTGTCAAATCAAAAGCCCATTGCGAAACGCAGGTTGTTCTCTTGTATCCTGCCCGAAGTGCTGTTGCAATCTGTCCTCGCTCCGTTAATCTAGGGTAATTAAGACACTGCCACCTCGACTAGTGACTAGTACGACAAATTCTTGCACGCTTGGCTTCACCGAACGCGGTTTTGGCTGTGCAGAAAAGAAAACAGATTGAAGATTGAAGACGCATCTTAAATGGGTCTCTGAAAGTACCCGCAAGCGCCGCTTGTCTGCATGTGTTCATCTACTTGTCCATTGAAAACTGCGATCTTCTTGACACTCTTCTTGACAACGTCGTCTGCAAGGACGGGAGAATCGACTCAATGGGTGAAGTCTGCTTGAGTTCTGCAGAACCGAATGGCCTTGTGTCCGGACGTTTCGCTTTGGAACAGATGGCGGATCTCACAGACCCCAACCACCGCCCGAGCCCCAAATGGACCACCCAAACATGTCCACCGATGTTCCATGTCACATCGACTCCCAGCTTGGGTCGGTGATTTCCGCAGAACCGACCTTCAGCCATTCTAAATCAAAGCTGGATGAAAGAAAAAGAATGGCTTCTGTCTTTTGGGCCTCTTGAACAAGGCATCTCCCCTTTTAAAAACAATGGCCACATAGGGGCTCATGGCCTTACTACTAGGAGCAAGAATGCTACTAGGGGCTCCTGGCATCGCTACTAGGAGCAAGGACGCTACTAGGGGCTCCTGTTGTGTCCACCAGAGGTGGCTTTATTCTTGAATATCTCGAAATCAACAAACTTGCAAAAGAGCAAAAAAAAACAAGCAAAACAAAGAGCAACCAAGAAAGCAAAAAATAATGCAACCAAAAAAGCACAAGCAAAGCAAAGAGCAACCAAGAAAGCAAAAAAGAACACAAAATGCAACCAAAAAAGCACAAGCAAAACGGGTAGTTGGAGGGGCCGGGTAGGGTTAGTACTGGACAAGGGTCTTTTCTGGCGCCGGGTCAAGTGTCGCACTTTGGTCGCTTGTTGTCGGCGCCAGGTCAGAAGTCGCACTTTGGTCACTTTTTTCTCCTTTTGTTTCGGGGGAGCGGTAAAAAGTCGCACTTTTGGTCGCTTGTTTTTCGCTTTATTGTTGCTTAAGCGAAAAAAAAGCGACCAAAAGTGCGACTTTTTACCCGGCCCCAGAAAAATTTTAATAAAAGCGAGCAAAAGTGCACCAGAAAGTGGACCCTCCCCCAAAAGTGCGCCAGAAAGCGCGCCAGAACGTGGACCCTTCCAAAAAGCGCGCCAGAAAGGCCGGCTGAGTTGTTCCATTTTTGCTTAAAATTTGGTTTTCTGCTTTTTTGCTTTTATGATTGCTTTTGTTTTTTCTGGCTGCAATTTGTGATTGATTTTGTTGCTCTTTTTTTGCTTTTGTGATTGCTTTTTTTCTGGTTGCATTTTGTGATTGTGTTTTCTTGCTTGTTTGTTTCAAGATGATAAACTTCTAGAATAAAGGGGTCTGGCAGACACAAGGCTCCTGGCCTTATTAAAAGAGACAAACAAAAACACTCTTTCAGCCGAGGCTTCGCTCAGCCTTCGGCCATAGAGCTCTGCGCTCAACGCTTCCGCTTCGGCCTCCCGCACCTGGCGAGCTGAGAAGAAGAGGATGGAGGATGGAGATGGTACACTCTGACGAACACATCAAATGGTTACGTGGAGTTCATCTCTTGTGCTGATGCTCCACCGTGTAAACCCGAAGACAAGGTTCGCATGCTACTTCCCCTGAAGGCCCAGATCCAACCTCGCGTTTGGTTTCACACTTTACCTCTTTTCTGGTTTGCCGTGGTCCCTGCTTCTGCTTCTCATATCCCACTTTACCTCTTTTCATGCCACTTGCTCAGAGTCACGCCACCTGTGCTGGGCTCGGTTCACAATGGACGAGGTTGCGTGGAGTTCACCATGGTCCCAAAAGGAAGATTAGTGTTCTTTACAAACAGGGGGTGAACTCCACTTCCATGTGATGTGTTCGTCGGAGTGTAGGTGAACGCGACTGGAGCTTCCAGGATCTTGGATGATCTTGGGCTATAGCGGCTAAAGTACATTGGATAATTGCAGAACTTCAAGAAACAGTCCCGCAGCTTCCTTTCTTTGCAGACCTCTGTGGGACTTCCAAGCTCAAACGAATTGTCAGTGAAATGGGAAGGATTGTCCCCAAATTCCAGAACTCATGCTTGACTTATGACCTTTTGATTTGAAATCTGTCACATCAATGTCTCTATGACCTGTCTGACGTAGGTGTCTGACCTGTCTGTGACCTGCTCACGTTTTCCACCCCGTCCGTCAGCCGTAGCTCTCACCTTCTCCACCCGTAGCTTCGCCATATCCACCCGCGCGGTGTCGCAGTTCCGCCGCTGCTTCTGCGCTTCATTCAAGGCATGCATCACCTGGTGAGGCGGCAGACGAAACGCTGTTGAAGAGGCAGACTGTGTTGATCCTGTGCTGTGCTGCTCAAGCTGGGGGGATTATGGGTTACCCACTAAAGGGAAGAGTAGATAGACCAAAGCCTGCAGGTTACCAGAGAAGCATGTGTTGATGAAGATTGAATTGTACAAGCATGTCAAATGTGTTCGCGTGTTTACGAACATGACTGCCGGAGTTCAACTTACAGTCCATCGGTGTGTTGATGAGTTGGGCAAACGTGGATCACCTGCCAACAGCAGTTGCGAAGAGGATTTTCAGACATACTGGGGGATTCATAGACGTTTCGAAAAGAAATAGGATGCGACGTGCCGGGTTTGGGAAGATGGTTTTCGATATATATATATATATGTTATGTTATATTCTCACATATTCTCACATAGCAAAGGCCAAAAGGGGACCGCCTTTCTTGACCAAGAATCTGCAATAGAAATCTAAAACGAATCAACAGTGGTAAGTGGACATCTGAGTTGGGGAGGTCTAGCAGCATCTAGCATGTCTTATTTTCAAGAAGGGTTGATTTGGAGGGATTTCGATTGAGAAATTGTAGCGACGACTCCAAAAGGACAACGCGCACACCCTTTCGTCGGAGAGACCGACCTCCGGAGAGACCGTCAACTCCGTCATCTCCAGTGAATGGACGGCAAAGCCATAGCTCTTCAAGTAATCGGTCAGCTGCTCACGAATGGATAAGCTGATCTCGTCTTTCTTGCCGAACCTGAGATGTCTCGTGTGATCTGGCGTGGTGAGGCTGATAAAAAGCCATCCCTTGCCTCATTAAAGTGCAATCAAAGGTCACTTCTTCCAGAGTATGCTTGTTCAAGTATGCCCGGATTGGTCCGATCCTCACGCGTGCCAGCGTGTAGAAAATACTCGTTGAAATGCTCACCCCAACCATTGTCTGATTTGAGAGTCCTCAGTTACTATGTCACATGTTTGGTAAATCCCCCAGGGCACTCACTTCCCTCTCTTAGCTATGATCAGAACATTGCCAGTTGACGGTGGTATCTTTTGGAGTCTCGAATTGAAAGGCAACCTAAAACACTAAAACACACATTGAACACAACAAGGCTATTGCCAAACCAGTGACAAGATTGGGATTCCAAACAGTGATGGGCACGGATTCTTTGAGACACGTACGCGCAAGGTCGATTAAGGGCCTCCGATCATTCAACTGCTTGCTAGAATCAAAAAGGACCTCAGCATGCCACCCAACTCTTGCTGCACCAGCTTGTAGATCGCTTCTTTGGCTTTTGAAGGGATCACTGAATACCTGCGACAGTGCAATGGAACCATCAAAGTTAGAAGGGTGATTGAACCCCCAAGTCCCACGGGCTTTCGCCTACGTATCTTGCAACTTGGTCTTTAAGTGTCTGCGTCGTGCTGCTCTGAATAGATGTCAATACCTTCTTTGGTGTGCTAAAGATCGTGTCAACGGCACAAAAAGGTGGAATGAGTCACGGCAGCTGAGGTGTTTCGGCGGCAACCATCGTAGTACCCGTAAGGGCTTGAGTGAAAATATACCTGGAGAATGAGATGGTTTACTGTTCTACCTGCTCTTCTCTAAAAAGGTGACATCACGATGTGGAAGATAGATGGGGAGAATGGAGAACTGCAGCATAAGAAGAACTTCTGGTTGCTTAGCTCACTCATAGCTGGCAACATGCAGCAAGCATAACACCCCTCACTGGCTTCTGTCAAGAGGCACTCGGATCAACAGTGTTTCACAGATACAGTATTTCGTCTGTTTTCACCCAGTCCACTGTCAACACTAAAGCGCTTTTGTGCCCAGGCACTGTATCACCACTTGCGCAGTGATAAACTCATGATCCCTGGTCTGTGTGGTGACTTTGCAGTACTCCTCCTGACAGAGAGCACTAGAATCTTTCGGCACAGGACCGTGCATTAAATGAATCCATGTCAGGCCGTCCCTTCAACAAAGACCTGCAAAGACCAACAGGCCTTGCATAAGAGAAAGAAACGTATCCATCTTTTTGAGATCTGACATAGTACCAAAAGACATTGCCATGGCTGGGAGCACTGTAGCCATTCGGCCACTCTATATACATTGATCCACACAAAAGTGTTGGGAAAAACATCCCGACGCGTGGATTTCTGAACGTGTGGTCTGGTGGTTTTTTGCTTTTATCTATAGCACTCCAGCGTGGTATTTGCAGTGCTTTTGCAAGTTGAATGCAGAGAAATGAGTGTATTTCTAAGGGGTTTTACAACTTTCTCACATGCCTCGCAGCGTTTTCGCAGTAAGTGTGGCCAGGGAATCATGCTTGGCATGTTCCCATCGCCACTGCCACGCCCTTGCGTGACGCCAGATCTTCTGATTGATCTTTGTCTTATCGGTGACGTCCGTGGTTCTGATCTGCTTGGGCAAAGCTTTTTTCAACAAAGACCAAACTCCATCAATCGTGCCCGTATGAACTTTCAGAGTCTTTCTCTTGAACTTCACCGTGTGACAAAACTGACCGGATCGGTGAGAACAAGCAAAGTGTTTTACCTGCATCTTTTCACACAAAGAAGGATAGACTTTTGCCCCATCAGAGAACAGAACGGTTCGTTGGCCAAGTCCGTCGTGACTCATGATGTGGTCCAAGACACCGCTCTTCTCAATCGCCTTCTTGCCTTCCACTGGCCATCGACCACGGCAAATGAAAACGCCCAGCCACAAAGATCTTCCACAAAAAATTCAGGTCAAAAAACCCTTTTGACTTATGCGCCAGCATACACCAAATCTCGGACAGGACACAAAAAGGTGATCTTGTAGGTCGAGCCAACGGCAAAGCCAGAATGGAAGCCGCCCAGCCGCAGCACTAAGACCAGGGCCGCGCAAAGAGCGCGACGGCGCAGGAGCACCTCCATGAAGACGTAAAACTGGAGCCAAAGGAGGAAAAGTCCGACCAAATCGGCAAATACATCATGCAAATTGCCCCCCCCCCCCGAAAACTGCGAAGGAAGATCATTCGGCTGTGGAGGTGCGAATGTCCTCACATTGTTCTCCAAACTCTCAGCTTCGGTGGGTCGGGACGTGCACTGGTAGTCAGCCCTGGTCTTCATACTTGGAAGGAACTTCATATTGCCTTTGACATCTGACAGCTCCGAAAAGGTACGTGTTCGAAAAATGCAACCACTACACGTGCGGTTTTCCACGCGTAGGCAAAAACATGGACCTCACAGATAGGGCTGCTTCATAGTAGGGGTCTCTTTGGTCCAGTCTTCATGTCTCGGTGTGCCATCTTGAGATGTTTGGGGAGCCCCAATTCTTGGGGTGAAAATGAGGCTCTGGCGCTCTTCCATAAACATACGTTCACCTCAGCAAGTAGAGTAGCAGCTTTGAAGATCACATTCCCCAATCCTCCCGTCCCATCCCGCTTTTCCCCGTGCTTATTAAAGTCATCTCTTCCACGTGCCTGAGGTTCACCCACCATCGAACTTCCAACCTCAAATATACAATCCCCCTACCAGCTGGGCCCCTAGGCCCGGGCGAATGTGATCCAATTTCGACCTCGTCACCCACGCGCTACTAGGGGCTCCTGGCCTCGCTACTAGGAGCAAGAACGCTACTAGGGGCTCATCACTGCATGCTCCTCCAGGCGTGTGGAGATGCTCCGCAGGGCCACGCACTGCCCACAGAGGTCCAGCCCTGCGAAGCTGAGCCCCGGCCCTAGCAGTTTGCGGAAAGCACCGAAGCGCTCCTCAGACGGACTGGACGGGTGGTCAAGCAGGTTCCAAGACGACACATGGCAGGTGTGTCGAAGCAAATAGGGATTCCAAGCAAGAGGGGTCAAGAGGGACGATGTGCATTTCTTCTTAGTCTTTCTTGCATTAGTCTTTGAGCAACAAATTGTTGGAGGATCTGTGAAGGTTCTGGAGATCCTAAGTGACAAACATATTATGTGGGTTCAGCGGAAGAGTGAAAAGAGACCAAAGAAATAAAACTTGCCTGCACGAAGGCACCAAGCCCTTTAAAGGCCATCCACTCACAGTGTTTGTTTGGACTTGTTATTCCTGTGCTTTTTGTTTATATTGCTTGAAAGAGCCAAACATCTGCAGTGAACTCTTGGTTGATTATGATTGATTTATTGATGATGCAACCATGTTGCAAATTGTTGTCTTTGCAAGATTCCAATGTGGTTCTGTGTGACATAAATCAGTTGGGTGCCGCCATGGATGGATGTGCTGATTCAAGAAGCTGTGGCAGATGCTCAATGGGTTGAAGGAAGAAGCTGTGGATTGAATTGCTTTTGGAAGAATGGGATCCCCAACAAGAATGGCCTATGGATAATGACAACTTTAATGAACCAACAAGGACGCTACTAGGGGCTCCTGGCCTTACTACTAGGAGCAAGAAGCTACTAGGAGCAAAGGGCATCGCTACGAACGGAGGAAGGACGCTACTAACTACGCTTATTGTTACTACTAGCTTCTTGTTACTACTAGTAAGGCACCTGTTACTACTAGCGTGGCACTTGTTACTACTAGCTACTAGGATTCCACTGCTCTCAACTTGCTTCAAGGATCCACGGCCACGTACGTCTCTGCAGGGACATTTACCTGGGCGCCGCCCAATACCGTGGCGGGCGAAAACAAAGCCTCAAGGGAAAATGGTCGTAAAGTCCTAAATAGGGATTGTAGGAATGAATATCATCAGGTCATATCACCACAGCTTTCATCATAACGTTTCAGAACAGCATCACATAATCTTATCACACCGTATCACCTCATTCATGTTCATCAAATAGTCATCAAAATCAACGACATCAAAGCATTGCATAACCTCATTCACTGGTAGGAAATATATATATATATTACCAGAAATATTGTGTTCCTAAAACCAAATCTCCTTAAGCATTATCTAGTTTCGTTCATAATAGCAGTAATTCCCAGATTCTATGTGTTCATCAGATTTTAGTTAAAATCGAATCAACATCTAGTTCGATGCGTCTACCGATGTTCCAAGGGCATCAACACATGTGCGAGTTCTACTTGTACAGACCGAACAACTGAGTTCAGTACAATTTAACTTGTAAAGCAGGGTTGGGTTGCTTTAAGCAGCCCACCAGAGTGTGTCTCTTCTTTGGATTCTGCGATGTGGTTCTTTCTCTGCAAGGCCCCTGATAGCAGATCCGGGTACGCCACTTAGTGAGCAACAAAGTGTCAGACTCGGTTGGACCTACGTTTCACTCAGGACTAGTTTCGCTTGGCTTCGCTCAATCGGTAAATCTAACAAATAATTGATAGATAAATCGGTAGATAGATGGATAGATGGATCGACGCATGACTAGATAGACTGTGCCACAGTAGCTCACACTGAGACTCATTACTGAGACTGCAAATCGAAACTTACCAACCTACTAGCGATGGCCTCCAACCTCGCGTCTTGGCTTGCACATGGATAATCAGCAATTGTGGGCCACGGTGCACAGCAGTTTGTCCCCGGCAAGCAAGCTCCGTGCTGCATCCGAGGAAATCACCAGGAATGTACGATGCTGTTATCTGTGTAGCTTTGTCCGTCCCTGGTCCACTATGCACCATGGTCTGCTTATGTCACTCGAACACTTTGGTGTGAGTGGACAACAATTCACCCCGGCTTAAAATGGTAGGCAGTAGGCCTCTGTCACTGTCAGAGCCATGTTTCTGTAGTGACTCTCCGAGCGAGCAAAACATTCCCACCCTTTCAATCCACATTGTCACAAGTAGGACCCGAACCCACTCTTCTGTGTATCAATGTGTATCAGATATATTATGGAATCAGGCCATATCGGGCCTAGGCAAAACAATTGAGCAGAGTGAAAAGGTAAACCTCCATGTAGCCAACACCTCCCATGCAGTTTTGGCTGCGCACGAGGCGCACGAGCCCTTGGAGCGCTTGGATTGAACTCTGAGAAGATACACTCCGCAGGGCTGTTCCATGTGTGCCACATGGAAAAGAGCACTGCAACAAAGATACTTTTTGAAACCGCGTGGCTGCGAAACTCGAACGATCCCTGTTGTTCAGGGCGACCTTCTGGCTTCGAGTCTGTGGACAGCATGGTGATCTTCAACAGGTGTTTAAAGCATTAAGTGTTCAACACATGCTACTCACCAGGAGACTGGTATACAGGGTGGCAAAATATAAGTGCTTCCTTGAAGGAGATCGGACCCACACAAAAGCTGAAAACGTCCAAAGTGTTCACCCCTGAGTGCACAAGAAGTGTTTGAAGAGCTGTGCCATACCACGAAAGCCGTCAAAGGCTTGGAGGCTTGGAGACACGTTGAGCAGGCCTGTTTCGGCCCGGCCGGTCAGATACATATTACATGCATGTACCTATATACGTTCTGACAAGTATAACAAAACCGAAGCTCTGAGACCAATCTTTTCATCAGCATGCAACATACAAAAAAACCTGCAACTCGTTGAATATCAAACGTGTGCAGAACTCTTCTTCTGCACGAAGCCCACAAGTATTTGCTTTGAACAAGCGAGCCACCCGAACCCAAGTGTAAATCGTCAGACTTGACGTCCAAAATACCACAGCATAGAGGTGTCACAGTCACAAACAACTTGCAAACATGTTCGGAGCTCTTCGCTGCAAAATGCTGGTGGATCAAAGGGAAGCCGTGGTGTTTCGGAGTGATCAGAACTGGGTTCTGTCCGGCTGACTGGTCGGAGGCGGACGAAGGCAACGGCCCTCTGAAAGTCGGCCTGGCGCTCCGACTGTTTGGAAAGGCTTCATGTGCCGGAGGTTGTCATCAATGAATATCAAAACGTCACAATCCAAAAAGTTTCAAAACAAGCAGTTTTTACTGGCAAGAAGGGTTCGAACTTCGAACTTCTAGCCTTGAAAGGGTTGTCTCTTGGAATCAAACCGCTTAGCCGAGCCCAAAACAAAGGGTTGTCTCTTAGGAGCCAGCATGAATTCTTGATCTAAACAGAGGAATAGCCATGATATAACCCATCTCAGGAATCCTTCCATTAAACAAGAGGGATAGATACTGCATGGATTTCTCCATGAATCGCGGGGGCGGGCAGTGGAGCAGTCCAACGATTTGTTGATTCTGAAAGATCAACACGAATGGTCTCATGTCGGGATGTCGGGATGTCGTACACCTCCAACGCTCTTGGGA